GAGGTTCCGTGGCCACAACCAACCCGCGCTCACTCCTAATTTCTTTATAAGTTTGAACTATTTCTTATAGTGATTGTTAGTATTGGTGGTTATTACATACGTTCTTGAACTCTAGTTGTTTAGTTTAATATAATTAATCTCTAAATCATTTATTTGCTTATCTTCTTCATAATCTAGACCAAATAGAGCCTTAAAACCCATAAAATACAGAGTTTAACATTTCCTTAAATAATAAAAATCCAACTAAAATAACAACAAAATTTCTCCCTAAACACATTTACCCAAACCAATGAAAAAGAAATCAGTGACGAGGACAGTTTTACATAGTTTAATTAACAAAACAACTTTCTCTAGTCAATACTTTTTTTTCTTCTTTTCTTTTTGTGGTTGGTTTGCCAACACACTAACTTTTATTTATTTATATGCAATTTTAAGTGGCGATTATATTTTATAGAGGGAAATTCTAGAAAGCCTTGTGTTGTGATTGGCCAAACACAGTATCGACTGTTCTGTCCGTGAATTAAAGCTATCTTTTAGGTTCTGTCAAACAAAAAAAAAAAAAAAAAGAAACAGTACAAAAGAAAGACTATCCCTTAAGATGTTGGGCCCATAGATTTGTATTAATTATTTTATAGTTCAAGAACATGCCGATATATTCGGCCAATGATATATTATAATTTGACTATTATGTTTTTGTTATTTGGATCATTTATTCATTTAGGTCCTCTATTATTAATTAAACACACAGTTAACATAAAAATTTTAGAAAACAAGACAATTACTCGGATAATTTGCCCTAATCTATAGAGTTCATTACGGATTTTGTTTTGAATCGAAACATTCATTTTGTAAGCTTCTTTGTGTATATCATATATACACAAAAAATTATATTGACCAATAATCATAATTTGTTCAATTTATCATGTTATTAACAAAATAAAAAATAAATGTTCTATTTTAAAAAACACACTTGTCGCCTATTTTTTGGTCACAATACTATAAATTAAATATGTTATGATTGTCAGACCGATGTAATTTTTTTGATAAACAATATATATAAAAGATCTTATAAAATGAATTATTTCAATTATCATTTATAAATTTAAATAACACTCTCTAATTCAGATCATAGACGGAAGGAAGCCTTGGTATGAAAACATGACATATGTTCCATCTTCACCTTCTCTGCAAGAAGTCAAGCTTAATTTAATTAAATTAAAAGGTGAGACAGCTACGTTCCTACCAACTCACATTTGGACTGGGGCACAACAGGTACAACTTAGGCACCTGTTTATCTAACTCATCTATATTGTTCATGACTTTTGAATTCTCATGGTTTATATAATGGTCATAAAAAAATTATTAAGTTGGTTTAGTGAATGAAGCCCCTTGTTTATAAGGTCTGATATGTCTAAGTTTAAATTTTATAGCTACGAATATAGTTTTTTGTCTTTATTTTTCTCTTATCAATTTTAAAAAAATAAAATAAAATAAAAAATATATTGTGCTAACGCGTCATGCATGAAACAAGTTAGAGAATAATCAATAAGGCCAAGGTGCACCTAATTTAAAACTGTTTTATTATTATTTAATTTATGAATATTTTTTTATAAATAATTTTTTAAGTGTTCAAGTTAGTTTTAATTTTCTTTTTATTACTAAGTATTCTTATAATATATAGCATAACCACCATATATTTCATATATTACTTTTTCAATTAGAAAAATTATAAATTTATATTTTTTTATTTTTAAATTTTATTGGGTAATTTGGTCAAAACCCCCTATAACAAAAATTTCATACATTAAGGACAAGCGTAGAAACCTTGAGGGTTGTCCTGAATGGTTATATGCTCCCAATATGCTCCATACACAATTGTACAAGGTTCAATTCCTCAACCAGGATTTCTTGTGAATTCTCGCCTGGACACCCTTTACTGTTGAGAGATTCTATTTGCACCAAAAAAAATCATTAAGTACGCCCAATTTCTCAGTATATTTTGTTTAATTATTTAGAGTTATAATTTACTCTAAATACACCATATATATATATATATATATTTTTTTTTTCAAATTATCTTTCAAGATACATCCAAATAATAAACAAATTAAAAAACCCAAATTATTTGAAAAGCGGTTGGTTTGGTTTAGATTTAAACTTGGGGGTCTGCCAAGGTTGTTATCAGACCATAGCCCTATAATCTTTATGGAAGATGATAGGGATTGGGGGCCTAAGCCATTTAGATTCTTAAATGCTTGGGTACTTCATCCCACTTTCTTGAACAAGGTAAAATCAGTATAGGAGAGCACTCATGTAGATGGATGGGCAGGGTATTGGTTAAAGGTCAAAATGAAGTCTTTGAAAGAAGCTTTAAAAGTATGGAATAAGGAAGTTTTGGGGAATGCTGAGTTCAAGCTCAAAGAAGCAGAAGAAGCAATGCATGCACTGGACTTGGCTGCTGAGGTGAGAACATTGCAGGATTTTGAAGTAATAAATAGAAGAGAGCTCAAATGGGAGATATGGAAACTGCGAAAAATGAAGGAATGAGTTTGGTTGCAGAAATCCAAGGTAAATTGGGCTCTAAAAGGTGATAGAAATACTAGGTATTTCCACATCATGGCTACAAAGAGATGGAATAGAAATCTGATAGATTCCATCACTGTGACGACTGACCTCCTTTTTCTCTTTATTCTTTATTTCCTTCGCTTCGTTCTCTTTTTATTCTTGTTGAATTGAAGTGTCCAGAAAGGGTTTCCAAATACTTTTCTTCCAGTGTTGAAATTTTGTTTGTCCTAGAGGATGCACGGGTGAGTTCGGGGTGCCGGGGAAGAAGTTGAAACTTTGAGCTGCTGGGCCAGGGCCGCACGTGCTGTATTGTACCGCACGAGCGGTGGGAGTGGCCGCACGAGCGGCCAAGCTTGACACCCAGAATTTGGCTACTGTCTAAGAGCTCTCGAGCGGAGAAAATGGCCGCACGAGCGGCCAACTGGGCAGTCCGAAACTCTGTTTTTTGTATCATTTTGATCCAAATATATCTCTCATTATACTCATCTCCCTCTCACTCTAAAACATATATTTCTCCTCCTTCTCTCTAGAAAAACCTCTCAAACATCTACACCTCTTTGATTTTGCCCGTCTTGGGTTATAAGTGTCATCATCTCCTTCAAGATCTTGAAAAATCTAAGCTAGGGTTCCATTTGGTGGAAGCAAATCCAAGGCTCTCTCTCATCTTCAAACTTTAGGGTTTCATCTTGCTTCTTCTCAAGCCCTTGAGGTAGGGTTCCTTTGAGTTATATGCGTATTTATGCAAGTTTCTTGTTGATTTTGTGAAACCCTCTATGTATTTCGAAAATGGAGCCTAGGGCTCAAGAAATTGTTGATTTTTGTTTAAAGAAAAACTCATCTCATCTTCTTTTAAAGAATATTTGAGAAGTGTGGAACCTTGTAGATTGAGATTGACATGTATGGAGAGAGTTCATAAAGAAGATGAAAAAATGTTTACATTTTGTGTAAATCTAGAAATTGGGGCTTTTTGTGAAAACATGGAATTCCATGGAGTAAATTATCCTTTCTTGTGTTTAAATGGGCGTGTGGGTATGGAGTTTATGTTTTGGTAAGAAAAATGATAATTTCCTTGATATATGAGAATGAGGAATTTACTTTTAAGATTGTTGCTAGTGGCATGAAAAAATAATTTATTGTGAGAAGATAGTTATTGAACACTATTGACTTTGAGAATTAAAAACTTGGAGGCTGATATCGAAAGTCTCGCATAATCATGGAATGACTAGAATGTTATGAAATATGTATAATAATGAGCTATTGCTACGTGTTAATTGACACCGATGGAACATGTGATTAATTGTGTCATGGTATTGGAGGAAGGTAAAGGAAGAAAGGCTATGGAGTGTCATTGTTGCATCGTGTCTTCATGTAAATTTTGTCATTTCTATACATCATGGCATGAGTTTTGGAAAACATCTACATTGAGAAAGGTTATATTGTAATAAGAATTATGAGAATGTTAAAGGGGTAAATACGTGGTAAGTCCGGATAGGGGGTGTAGTTGTATTTGATAAGATGGCCTGAGTGTCCTTGGTGGAAGACCAGAAAATCGCGCGGATAGGTGTCGAGCCTTCCGGTTAGCACCGGTAAAAATGACAGTTTGGTAGTGCTTGTGGAGCCTACTTGCAGACACCAGCCTAGGGATTACCAGTGATGTATTTACCGTCCCCTTTTTATTTAAAATTGGAAGTGTGGGGAAATTAATGAGGTTGTATAAATGTTGACTAAAAGCATGGTGGTTTTCAAGAAAAACATAGTATGAGTTTTCCTTCAAATGGCATGGCATAACATACCCATTTACATAAAATATTGTGAATCTTGCACAAATGTACATACTTTGTTAAAGTTTCTCTACTGGGCTATATGCTCACCCCTATGGGTTTTGGTGCAGGTAAAGATGTGGTGATTCGACCGAATTGAGAGCGTGGAAGTATTTTGAGAAGAGTAGTGCACTCTTATTTTGTTGTGATTAATTGTAAAGCCAAGGGCTATTATGGTTTGGGTCCGAGTGACCACTTTTGTGTAACCAGGCTTATGCCTTGGAAGATGTAAGCCCTTAAGGGCATTGTATTGTTTTGAGAATGGATGCTTTACATGCTATAGATTCATATGTTTTGTATTGATGAATTTATACCTGCATGTAAAACCTTTGTAAGGACTCTAATTTAATTATGTAAAGACGGGCAAATTGTTGTTATTGTTGAGTGAATGTTGATCACTTGTGGGTAGTTCTTGTCATTTTTTTTGGGGCGTTATAATCACAATCAAGGGTAACACCTTTAACAAACATGTAGAGATGAAACAAGAGATTGCAAGATATTTTGGTGAGGCATTTGCTGAAAAGTGGATGATTAGACCTAAGATTGGGGTTTTTTTAAGACTATTGATCCCTCTCAAGCTGAGTTACTGGTGAAGGAATTTACTGAAGCAGAAATATGGCTGCAATTAAGGAGTGTGATGGGAATAAAGCCCCTGGGCCAGATGGGTTTAATTTGATTTGCATTCAAAAGGGATGGAGGATAATGAAAGCTGATATAATTAAGTTTATGGCTGATTTTCATGAGAATGGGAGATTGGTGAAGGGATTGAATTGTTCTTTTGTAACATTAATTCCAAAGAAGGAAAATCCAACCATTATCCAAGACTTTAGACCAACAAGTCTCATAAATTCCGCTTGCAAGATTCTCTCAAAGGTCCTAGCTTGCAGATTAAAAATGGTGCTTCTAAGTACCATTAGCCCGACCCAATCTGCATTTTTGAGTGGAAGGAACATTTTGGGTGGGCTATTAGTTGCTAATGAGGTAGTAGATTGGTGGAAAAGATCCAAGAGAAGTGGGTTAATAATTAAACTCGACTTTGAAAAGGCTTATGATATAGTAAATTGGAGTTTCTTGTTTGATATGTTGGAAAAGTTTGGTTTTGGAAAAAAATGGGTGGAATGGATGAGGACATGTCTAGTTTCAGCTAGAGTTTCAATTCTTGTTAATGGTTCCTCATCTGAGGAAGTGTCTTCAAAAAGGATTGAGGCAAAGGGATCCAATCTCACCATTCTTGTTCAATATTGCAGTTGAAGGCCTAAACATGCTACTAACAAGAGCCAAAGAACTTGGACTGATAAGAGGGGTCAGTATTGGGATCGAAGGTGTGAATTTATCTCATCTACAGTTAGCTGATGACACGATTTTATTTTGCGAAGTTGATTGGGTAGAGGTTACAAATGTGAAACGGATTCTAAGATGTTTTGAAGTAGTGTCTGGCCTGAAGATCAACTATCATAAAAGTGCTGTCGGTGAAGTAAGAATTGATGAGACTACAGTTGGTGAATTTGCTTTGAGATTAAATTGCACAAGTAAAAAGCTCTTCTTCAAATACTTAGGTTTGCCTTTAGGAGCTAATCCTAGAAGGAAGCAAACTTGGAAACCTGTGGTGGATAAGTTCAAAGCTAAATTAGCCGAATAGAAAAGAAGAGTTCTTTCTTTTGCTGGTAGGGTGACATTAATTAAATCTGTGCTATCCAATCTCCCTGTTTATTATATGTCCTTATTTAAAATGCCTCAAGGAATTGTAAAGGAGCTAAACAAGAAACAATCTGCATTTTTATGGGGAGGCACTAATTAGAAGAGAAGAATTCCTCTTGTGAAGTGGGAAGAAGCTACAATGAGTAAGAAACTTGGAGGATTGGGGATAAGGAACATTAAAGCAGTGAATGAAAGCCTAATTGCCAAATGGTGGTGGAGGTTTGGGTCTGAAGATAATGCTTTGTGGAAGAACTTGATCTACTGTAGGTATGGAGCTGATGGTGGAAGATGGTTTCCTTTCTCCATGGCTGCTAATCCTTGCTCAAAGATCTGGAGTGATATTCTATCAGTAGCACAATCCAATCCTAGACTTTTTAATTTTTTTTATGGATAATGTTGCAATCAAAGTTGGGAATGGGAGAAGGATTAAGTTTTGGGAGGATGTCTGGCAGGGTAGCTCTTGTTTCAAAGACAAATACCCGAGATTATTTATGTTTCTACTGATAAAGGGATCACATTGAAAGAGATAGTGGACAAAAAGGCCAGCAATGATGATTGGTCTTTCAGCTTTAGAAAGATTTTACGAGCGTGGGAAGAGGAGGACTTGAGAAAAATGAAGGAGGATTTAGGATCAGGCCTAGCACTATGTTTGGAAACAATGGACAGTATCAGTTGGAAATATGGAAACTCTGGGTGTTTCAATGTAAAATCAGTATATAATTGGTGTGAACTGCATTATGGTCCTATGAAAAGTTTATCTAGCTTAATCTGGAATAATGCTGCTTCTCCGAAATCCTAGTTTTTCGCGTGGTTGGTGTGGAAAGGGAGAATAAAGTCACTAGATTTTTTTGCAGAAGATTGGGGTTATTGACTCTAATATGGTACCAAGCTGTGTTCTTTGTAGAACATGGGAGAAATCATTAAACCATATAATGCTACATTGCCCTTTCGTTTGGAAAATCTGGTGTAGCATCATCAAATGGTAGGGAATGTAATGGGTTGTTCCAAGAACAGTGGAATGTTTGCTTCAGTGGTGGAGTGGATAGAAGTTTAAACAAAGGGAATTGCGGATATGGAAAGTAATACCAGTAGCACTGTTTTGGTCTGTGTAGAAGAACATAAATGAAGTTATTTTTAATAAGGGTCAGCCTAATTTGGAAGAACTATGTGATCTCATTAAGGTAAGAGTAGCCATGTGGATGAAGTCAAATCTGGTGGGAAGAGACTACTCAATTAATCAGTTTGTATCAAACCTACAACAGATTAAGTTATGTATTAAGTGACTGGACATCTGTGGTGGCTGTTATGATTTGTTTAGGTGCTGATATAAACAAGTTGCTGGATTGAATTGGAGGCTATCCTGGTTGTTGCTACTTCTGATGGTAGGGGAGGTGGTTTTTTGAGTATGGTAGCAGGAATTGCTGCTGCAGATGTTAGTGCTGTTAGTGGCTGCAAGGGTTGGTTTTTTTAGTATGGTTGTTACTACTGCTTTTGATGGCAAGGGAGTTTTTTTGTTTGTTATTTGTGTGGTTTTAGTTTTGGTTTTGGTTGGTTACTCACCAACCTGATGCGATGCTGCAAATGATTAGGCTTGTTTTATGGTGCCAACCTAGTTAGGATCATATTATAGTTTTTCTTATTCAATAAATTTCTTTCTTTGCTGATCAAGAAAAAGAACACAACATGGAACACGGCACCGGCGAAAGAGAACAATGAATGAGGACAACAAAGGAGAACAAGAGGGTGAACTTCATTTGCATTTACATTCGCATTCACCGAGCATGAAGCTTGAAGCTTGAGAACTTTGACATTGAAGCTTGAACTTCGCACCACCAACTACAGTCGTCCACCGGAGCTTGCTCACGCCATAGAGTGAATCAGGTTCTTTCTGCATATTTGAAATTGAACGAATGAAAATAGATTGAGAACTTAAACCTTAAATTAAAAAAATTAGGATTCAAACTTGCAAATCCGAACATGTTGACTTACTGCCGAACAAAGTGAATTTGTTCAAATCTGAAAACCCGAACAACAGTGACATTACACAGGTTGAATATTCATTTTTTACATAAAAAAAGAAAAAGAAAAAAGAATTGTACTTTGATATTTATGTGAATACTTACCTCTTCTTTGATGGGTTGTTTTAAAAAATAGTTTTCATTATTATTTTCATCCATTGTTTGATTTTGTTCAAACTTTTTTCTATTCGCAAGAAAAAAAACAATGATATTGATGATAATGGTGAGTTTTGGTGGATGATTTGGAGTTTTAAAGTGAGGAAGAAGAAGAAAAAATAATTGAAATTTGGGGAAAATGATGAAGAATACGTATCATGAGGGGAAAAAAGAAGGGTTTAATATGTGTAATCCTTATTAATAAATTTACATTATGGTATAATAGGAACTAAAATTTTAATTAGGTATACTTAATGATTTTTTGAGTGCAAATAAAATAACCCCTTACTGTTGAACCAAAAAAAAAAAGAAAAAGAAAAAAGAAATTGGAAAATGTTAGACCCCAAAAGTTTTACCAAAATTTGTATCAAATGTCTCACATAGATCAACACATACCACTATTACCAAAATATCATAAAGACTAATTTCATATTTCAAACTTTAAAATGATATAACTTTTTATCTATGTGTTAATTTTTAATAAAATTGGTATTTTTAGAATCCTCAAGATCTATTAAACAATATCTATGTTCGTCATGAAATTCGTTAAACAAAAATAATCAAAAATTTGACGTCAAAATTAACGCCAATAATGAAATTATATTCTATTTCATAATAAATTTTTACTCTGGTTAACTATAAATTTTATTGTGAAATGTTAGTATTTAAATAGTGAAAACCATCATCATCACCAAATAGCATAGTTACTGTAATTGTTACCATCATAAGTAGAAATATTGAATAATAAATTTGTTAAAACATTGAAATGATAATGTTAACAGAGTAAATTTTACTTGTAAAATTTTACTTCACTTTAAAACAGAGCATATCAACCAATAAAACACAAGTCATGTATTTCCAGAGCAAATAAAGTAAAGTCAACATAGCAATAAACAAAAATATCGTTATTCAATCAGACTCAATAAAAATAATCATAACAAACGAAATACATATTGTTCAATCTTCAATCTCACCAATAAAAACTTTATTCACTCTTTTATCTAAAGAAACAAAAATACACATTTCTTGTATAGCTCAATCGCTTGCTTGGAAATATAGCAAATAATGTTTAGAATATAGCAATTATGGAAGTTTTATGACTCAATTGTGTAGGACAATCTTCACTGTATTTAAAAGATTTAATTCTATTGTGTACACAACAACAATAAGAATTTAAAGAAATAAAGATTGAAAACAATATATATCTATACTACTATATATGTGAGTACTTAGATTGGTTTCTTGAAGCTTTGTCTCTCTTTATGTCAAGGGTGCAGTTATCTAAAAGAAAAAAGGAAACTTACTGATAAGTCACATACATGAAGTTTAAAATCCATTTAATCCAAAAACAAATCATTTGTACCAATTAGTCCTATATATTTTTAATTGTTACCAAAAAATCTTATTTTTAATTTATTTTTTTTTAAAAAACACTGCTACATTCCACTATCGCCGGACTTCCGTCAGACGGTCATCGGAGACTCGCTGGAATGTTTAACATCACTGGGAAGTCGCTAGAATATCACCGAAAATTCACCGAAGTATTGCCAGAATGTTCTAAACGTTACCGAAAGTCGTTGGAATGTCTAGAATGTTCGCTAGACGTCAAAAATATCACCGGAGACTCATCGGAATGTCTAGAATATTATTGAAAAGAAGAAGAATAATAAACTGAGAAATTAAAGTGAAAAAATATAGCAAAATGTGCTAAATATTGATAAATTGAAAGAAGAAAAAAAACCTAAGAACAACAAACAACAACAGTGGAAAAAAAACATGTGTTATTTTCAATTTTTGTAGGGTTTAAGCAAATAATTTCTAATATTGATCAAACTGAAAAGCAAGTTTTGAAACTGTAAAATGTTACAGTTTCAAATTATGATTCTATTAAGTATTTATCCTTATTAATCAAACTAAAAAACATATTATGAAACTGTAAAATTTTACGATTTTAAAGAAAGTTATGAAACTGCAAAATTTACAGTTCTAAAAAATGATTCATTTCAGCACCAAAAAAAAAAAAAAAAATTGAAACTGTAAAATTTTACTTTTTCACCGTCTGTAATTAAAACTCAAAAACAATTTATTTAGAATTTGAAAATTTTCCCCATTATAATAGGAAAAAAAAATGTATAGTACAGAAAAAGATTAAAATTGAGAGATCGAAGGAAAGAGATAGATATAAAGAGATGTTTGTACCGCAACAACTATTTTTTGGTTTAGATCTAACCATTTGAGTAGGTCTACATCAGATTTGAGTAGATCTACTCATCTTTTTCGTCAAAAACTCATATCTTTCGCTGTCGGTGAGCACGAAGAAAGGAGTTGGTACTTGGTGGTTGTCCGTGAACCTCAATCAATGATGGCTGCCAATCACTG